TCAGAGAACATGGGAACTGAAGGACTTAAAGTAGAAAACACATTAAAGATGCTGTTGTCTTTAGGGGAGCAGATAAATAAGGTGATAATTGGAAGGGGATCTGGGGCTCAGGAGATAGGGGAGATATTGTGGTACGTATGTTTCAATGGTGATGAGAATGGCTCAGAAGAGGGGAAAACGGTGGGTGAAGAAGAGAAGATGATTATAGCAGCAAAGAACATGAGAAGGACAGAGGAATTGGGATCTAGGGCAAAAGAAGAAAATTAGCCTTAGGCAGAAGCAGGAAGAATTTGTCCTTTAGAAAAGAGATGAATTCTTCTTTATAAAAGAAGTCAAAGTATGTAAGTATAGATGTTACTATCCGTGCAAGCCTTGTAGAGGAAAATTAGGATATTCTAGTCTGATGATTTCCATTTTCTTATTTTTTTAAAGGGCCAGATCATCATTTTAGACTGAAAAAGTGCTGGGGGTGGGTGGGAGACTGAAGTAGTTACTCGGGAGAATGAGTAAAGAAACTGCCTAAAAAAAAAATGGACAAGACTTACTGAATAGGGTGGTCCTGTCAGTTAGAACAAGACCATTGAGCATGGCTGTATTGTCCTCTAATCACATTTAAGCCTGTAGTTACAGGTGAAAAATAAGCAGAGAACTGCTTTTAAACAGATTGGTGAGTAAGATAGGACAGAGTTGAGTAGTTAAGTGGTTATAATGTTGAACCATGGAATTCATAAGACATGAAAATGGAAGGAAAGGAAAGAAGCAGCCTCGACTTGGTGGCTAGAGGTCCTTACAGGGTCCAAGAGTTGGTGAAATTTAAAGCTGAAAGATAAGGGGTGGTGGTAGAATGGGAAACTTGAGTCAATATTAGGTGGTATGATTCCTAGAAATTATGCAACAGAGGAAAAATATAGGAAGAGAGATCAAAAAACTGAGAGCTTAGACGTGTGGGTGAGTCGACTAACAGGATGTTGGAAGAATATCCAACATGGATGTTGACGTCACCAAGCATGACAACTAGAGAGATAGACATGGGCTCTAAATCAATTGCTAACACTACAATGAATGAATGATTATAAGGAATGGCCCCAAAGATTGTACATAAATGCTACAAGGAAAATTAATGGGCAGTGTAACATTTTCTTAAAAGGCTAGAAAGTTTCAGGGAGAAGGAAAGAAAAATGAAAATGGTCAGGTAGCACCAATGAAAAACCAAGGACATCTACTCCTTAGGACCATGCTTCTCAGGTTAATGGGGAAGGGGGTTTTTCTTTCTGTGCTAGCGCTGCTCTACCCTTCTCCATATGCTCACTCATCTTCCTAGCGGACCTGTCCATGGCTAGGCACAGGAAGAAAGGGAATTTAAGGAAAATTCTTACTTGAATGGTTCTTTTGCAAAACCTAGAAACACTTTTATGGGTTTCTTAGAATTTGGGGACCTGGGAAACTCCAATTAAAATTCTCACAAAGCCAGGTGCAGTGGTGCACACCTGTAATCCCAGCAACTCAGGAGGCTGAGGCAGGAGGATCTCAAGTTTAAAGCCAGCCTTAGCAACAGTGAGGCACTAAGCAGAAACTCAGACCTGAGACCCTGTTTCTAAATAAAATACATAAAAAGGGGGGTTGTGAATGTGACAGTGGTTGAGTGCCCCTGAGTTCAATCCCCAGTGGCTTCTCACCTTTTTTTCCACAATGTGAGTGATGCCTTTGCTCTGGTCTGGCCTTAAATGAACTCCGACCACTAAAACATTTAATGCAAGAAAGGGCCTTATAAATATTCTTATTGGAGACTCACTGTACTCTTGGTGGCCTCCTTAGACGTAGTCTGTTGAGCAGCATCTACACTCCAGTCTGGCTGTCCCACATGGTCCACATCTGCTCTGGAAAACGGGTTTGAGAGCTTGTGCTGGGTGGAATGCCACCTTCCCCAGCACAGGGCTCCTTCTCCCTGTCCTTCTTCGTTGGGCTGAGAAGCTGCTGCAACCTGCCCTTAGAAGTTTCAGGCCCACTCCCAGCCTTGTTGTTGTATCCCCTCAACCCTTGAAAACACAACAAACTCTAAAGGGAAAGACCTTCTCACTAACCATGGGGCAGTCTCAGAGCATGGTCCTTCTCAGTAACCCTCCTTAGTTGACAGAGGGAAAATCAGCAGCACTGCAACCACTTTCTCCAAAGACATTTTTTCTTCCTCCTTCAACATTCATGCTTTTTATTATTTCTTTTTTGTTCTTTTAAATATACACCCTTATATTCAGGAGACTGATCGGCTAAGAGACAAAAAAAAAAAAAAAAAAAAAAAGTCCTGGCTTAGGCCACTCCCTCCAAAAGCCCTGCAAAAGGAGTCCAGCACCAAACTTTTGAGACATGGCACCTGTGGTTTTATTTTTAGCTTTAGAGACCTCTCCCAGTACCAAGACAGAACCAGTCCCATTTTAATTATCTGCTACCCCAGTAATTAATATTCTCAGCCTTCTTCATTCTTTTCCAACTCAAACTTCAGGTTTCATTAAAATCATTTTTGCTTTTCCAAGGTTTATAAATCTTATATTTGGTCTGTAATTATAATTCCCACCATCAAAACATATTTTTAATTCAGCTTTTTCACACCTCGGATTTTTAAAAAATTTCTCCTTTGGCTATATTTCATTGCCATTTAGGTTTCTTGTTGACATATACTTTATCCATGTAGACCTAAGATCTTTGCTAAGGTACTGGAAAGACTACTTTACTACCTTTAACATTCATGCCACATTTTCTTTTGCTCAATGCTGTATCTCTTGTTCTACTGGCTTCCAACCCTAAATGATGCCATAGTCCTTTGATTGAGGTCTCTCCTTTTATAAATTGTTTGCCTTTATTGGTAGCTGAATTGTTTGATTGATGCTATTTTTTTTTCAAGAAAAGCTCATATGTGCTACAATTCTTACTTGAGAATTTTCCAAACATGGTTTTCATACTTAAAGAATGATTTGACTGCTATAAATTACTAGGCCAAATCATTTTTTCTTGAACTTTAGGCATTGTTCTATTGGGTTTTGGCATTGAATGCTGCTATGGGAAAGCCTAAGGCAAAGCAGGTTTTTTTTGGTTTGATATCTTGCTTTTTCTACCTAGATACCTAAAGAAATCTTCTACCTCTTCATAAACTTTATAAATTGGTGCAAATTGAAACATTCTATATCATCGTATATCAGTTTTCCTGAAATACAATCTGTATATTAGGTTTATACTTATTTCAGAAAAAAACAATTTTATTACAATTTTGTATATATTTTGTGTTGTTTGTTTCCATGTTGTTTATACTATACAGATGATTCCCAATTAGCAATAGTTTGACTAGTGCTTTTAAACTTAGTGCAAAAGAAGTACACATTCAGGAGAAACTGTACTTTGAATTTTGGTGTTTTCTGAGGCTGGAAATAAACAGAATGAAACACTCTTCTCTTTTTGATCAGCAGTAGCAAACCATATCTCCCACTTGTCACACAAGCAAGAGCTAACAACCAGTACTTTATACCACTGTCCTGCTAAACTGGGGTGTTTGGTGGTATTTTTTTATTTAAGTCAAGAAGCATCTGTACTTTTCTGATTATAATTTATGTTGGATATTGTTATTGATCATTTATATTAATTAGTCTTTCTTGAACTGCTTTTCTTTTTTGGAGGGGAGGTACAGGGGACTGAACCAGAGTTGCTTAACGCTGAACCACATGCCCAGACCCCTTGTGTGTGTGTATGTCAGATCTCACTAAATTGCTGAGGCTGGTTTTTGAACTTGTGATCCTCCTGCTTCAACCTCCATACCATTGGTATTACACTGGTATTACAGGTGTGCACCACCATGCCTGGCTGCTTTTATCTTTTGATTCTTGCTGCAGTCACTCCATTCTCTCTTCTATGTCGGCAGTTCAGTATTCAGCCATGTCTAATCTAACCTTTGATCACTCCAATTAGGTACTAATTAGACAATGAGATTGTTTTGGTTCTCTGCATTCCTCTTTTTCTTCTTATTCTGCTTTTCTTTCTAAATCTGCTGGCAAGCACTGTGTGTCTGAATAGTTGCTGGGACATTTCTTTTCATCTTGCTCATGATCTGCGGGAAGTCTCCACCACTCCTTTTCCTTGCCCAGTTTAGTATGGACACCTTCTCTTTGGCACCACGTTTGCATTGATACGACATCTGTCTATACAGCTATGGTTAAGGGGCTAAAGGAACATGCCTGTCATTCTTTCTATAACCAGAGGGTTTGACAAGAGAGGGACAAAGAGAGGGCTATCCTTTCAAAGAATTTTTTTTTTTAAATGTCCAGGGTTCATTATTCTTCATTGAAAAGTTTCTCTTAGATTCCCAAATTCAGCAGAGGACTCTGAAAAATGGATGTTTCTGGATTTTTCTCTGCATTAAATGCCATCCTGGGATGCTGCAAGCCTGAGGACTGGGGCTCATTCTCTTAAGGATTTTCCTTATGATTCCTCCAAGTAGCTCCCTCATCTCCATAATGTATTTCTTCTAAATTTTGGAGTCAGAAGGAAAATTCTCAAGATGTTTTTAACCACTTGATCTTTCCCCAAATCAACTTTGAAATGTTGGGGTAGGGTGCAGGTGGTATTAAGACCCATCCAGAATCTTGCCAATATCTTTGATTCTTTGTTGTGATCACATGTTTAAAGTTAGGACATGAAAGGCTGCCACTTGAAATGTTTTCACTTTATACTTTCCTTTTTTTTTTGTTATTTTACTATTCTTACTTTATATAATCAGAACTTTCTATAACTTTGCTTCATTTTGCCATCTTCACCTAAAGCCTGATATTTTATGATTTTAAATCACCACGTCTTGTAAACAATGTTTATTTTCCTCCAGAATGGAACATTTCCATTTTATCATGAAAGCCATATAAAGCATAGCATCAAAATACTGAGATTCAATTACAAGAGAGGTCTTATGTTTTGTTTTATTTTTAATGTATTTATTCCATGGAGTGAATGCCATCTAGAAAAAGCACAAGCTTCTAGCACTGATTCAGACCTGAAGAACTCTTTTCTTCCTTTCTTTGCAGGTAGTCTATTCATATGACCAATTTTTTGAAAAAAAAAAAAGAAGAAGAAGAGAAACATTTATATATTTTAGTCACAATGTAGGTTCTGGACATTGTCTACAATCTGATGCTTTAAATTTTGACTTAAAATTAAATCAATAAAAATAATAAAATCAGGGCTAGAGTTGAAGCTCAGCAGTAGAACACTTGCCTCGTATGTGTGAGACACTGGGTTTGATTCCCAGCACCACATATAAATAAGTAAATAAAATAAAGGTCCATCAACAACTAAAAAATTATTTTAAAAAATAATAATAAAATCAGACTGAGAAACTTTAACTTGATCAGAAGCAAAAATAAATAAATAAATAAATGATAACAACAAACTCTCAAAAAGAAATGCTTCCATTACTTATTTATGTTTTGGAGGAGTTTCTTCCTTTGGAAGCCTATTCTATGGAGGAATTTTTAAAATGCATTGAAAGAGTAAATTTTAATGTTTTTCCCTATTGCTAAGTTGAGACCTGATTCATGCTTCTGATTTTGTTCTTTGGGATTAGAGAAGGGGGAACAGAAATGAGGGCTAATTGCAAAAGAACCTCTTCCATAACGCTATCACAGTGGGAGGGAAAAGCACAGATGCCTTCTGATTCACTTGAAGGAGAGATTTGCTCATTTTCCTTATTTGGCTTGTTTCGGGCTTGTGTCATTTGGCCCCAACTGGGATGTCTTTCATACTCACTTTGAGTTAGGAAAAGATGCAAACCATCAAAAAGTTTAATCTGGTCCTCACATTAATGAAGCTGATAAAGACAGAAAAGGAAAAGCCAGTGTCTTAGTCTGTTCTGTGCTGCTATAACAAAATACCAAAGACTAATTTATAAAGAACAGAAATTTATCCTCTCACAATTCTGGAGGTGGGAAGTCCAAGATTATGATAGCTTTAGAAGTGCCTTCTGACTGCATCATCATGTGGTGGAATGCAGGACAAGAGAGCATCAAGCCCCTTTATAAGGGCCCCTAATCCCATTCATGAGGGTAGAGCCCTCATGACCTAATCACCTCTTAAAGACTCCACTCTTAATACGATCACATTGGCAACACCTGGATTTTGAAGGGGACATATTCATAGCATCTGGATGTCAGACTCATCCATTCCTCTGGTGTCAACTCTAGTGACTTGTGTTGTTAAGCTTATATCACACTCTGAGTTCCAGTGCCTACCTGACTTCTCATGTAGAGGGCTCCCGAACTCATCAGGTCACAAACCAACCTCCACTTTTGCCAAGTCCACACTCATGAAACTGCCCAGTCCTCTCCTTTCCTCATGGCTGGCTCTGCTTATGCTGAGAGGACATTGGAAGTCTTTCTTAACTGCCTTCCTTTTTGCTGGCTCAAATCCAGATAAGACAAGATCATCTGAAACACCTCCTGGGGACATTCTTGTCTATCACTATTGCCACCACCAGGCTTCAGACCTTATCTATCCTAACTCATCCCTATGGTAGATGGAGTTTAACAACGTAAACTGCATCAATGTCTCCACCCTGACATCTTACACAATATGACCTCACCACTCCTCCACCAGGGAATGGGGTGTCCCTTCTTGAATCTGGGCTTCCCTGTGACCTGTTTCAACCCATGAAGGCAACATGGTTGTAACTTGGAAATAATTTTTAACACTGGGACTTAAGAAATCTACAGATTGGGCCTTTGCCAATTGGAATGCTCCTTCCTGGAAGTCTACATCCATGTTAGAAGGTCAACTACCCTGAAATCGTTATCCCATAAAGAATCCCAAGCAAGCCCCTCCCCACAAGAGAGAGGCCATGTAGAGGAGCACTGGGCTGCCAGGCAGCAGAACGAAGCCTTCTCAGACCTTCCAGCCAGCCCACCCCTCAGGACCACAGTCAACACCACATGCAAGAGGGCAGCCCAGCCCTACCCTGCTGGATTCCTGGACCGCAGTAAGGGAGGAGCAAAGGAAACACTCCTCTGTTAAGGCACTATGTCTGGGGATAGTTGCTACAGAGCAGCAGATAACTAAGGCACTCCCTCTGCATCTAGTCCCCCCACTATAGACCTCTGCCATTTTGCCGTCAGTGCTTTGTACTGAACTCTGGTGGGACCACAACACTGCAGAATCAACACCAAACCCCTTGGTCCCTTGCCAAGTAACCTTCTCTGTCAGCCTCCCACTCACCTGCCCAACTTTAGCTTTTGTCCCACCTTCCTCCACCCCTGTCTCTCCCAGATCCCTCAGACATGCATCCCAGACATACATCTCTTCCTGCATTGTACCCCATGATTCTATGTCACTGGGATGTTCTTCCTTCATCAAACCATCTCTGGTACAAAACCCAATTGCTCTGTGAGACCTCAGAACACTCAGAGTTCTCACTTACCCAGTGCTACCATCAGCACTCTTTCCCAGGTCCCTTCCCAGATCTGACTGCACATGGAATCATCAGGGCAGATCATTAAAAATACACATTTCTCAACTTCTTTCCACCCTATGGAATAGGACCTGGGAGTGAGGCCTACAAATCTGGATTTTTGAAGCACCCTAGGAGTTACAGACAGAGCCAAGCAGAACCCATATTCAGGACTGAGTTTGAATGGGAATTACTTGCCAAGTTGCCTGCCTTTGCCCTAGGCTGGCATCCCCTGGAGGACAAGAATCACCTAGTCATCTCTGTGTCCTTGAGTCTAGCTTCCTCCCACAATGAACATAGAAACAGAGAATGGCTTTCAGGAGATCTGTAAGACAGTAAGAAGGCCAGAAGATTCAAGTCTTTCTTAAAGGAAGAAGGAAGCCAAAGAGCAAGAAACCTCAGTCCTCATGCCTGTCACCTGCTGCTCAGCAGAGAATTTCCCACAATGCAACTCCTTTGCTTCCAGACTTAACTGCCTAATTTAGCTCTATCCTAGGGCCTAGTCTAGTACCTGGAAAACAATAATTACTCATAGAAATTAATGAGTAATAGTTATATGAATAACTATAAACCAAGAGAAAACAGAACAGTTGTAACTGAGGCCTCTCCAATTGCTTGGTTTTGACCACACTGCTCAGGCCGGGGCTTGGTACTTTTGACCTTAACTGTCCACAGATGTTATCATTGGACATTACCTCTCTCAGCTCTGATAGTGCAGGATGCCAGGTGGGTGTCACCCTGCATGAAAGATCTGTCTATAGCTACCCATGGATTCTTGTTCCATTTACACTCACAAGATGCTGCTTGGCATCTCTGTATCTGAGGGTGACATGTCATTATATCAAATTCTGTGACTGCGCCCAGAAAGGTTAATGATTCTTTCTGCTGCTGGATTCCACGCTGAGTAGGCAACCTTTAGCTAAGTGCCCAAGAGAATAATTACTGATTTATTAAGGGTAGAATGACACAGATAGAAACAATGACAAAACTGAGCTAAAAGTGTAGTCAAATGATAGCATTTTGCCTAAGATATACTTGTTGGCACTAAATATCCAAGAGACAGTTAAATTAGAATCAATTGTCTATAGCCATTTATTCTTTCAAAGCTGATTTTCTCTACTCTTATTCATCTTTATATATTTTCTCTTAGAAAAAAAATGTTTTTCTAAGAAATTTTTTTCTGAAGAACAATAGAGCTTTCAGTTAGGCATTATCACCTTCATATTTCAACAAATCAGATCCAGCTTTTAAATTGGAGTCGGCCCTAGAGAGAGCTAAGTCAACAATCAAAGTAGCCCCTGATGCCTTTAAGGACCCTGGGAACATTTTATGCGTTGGCCCATGAGCAAAGAGCAGCAACCCTTCTTCTTTAATTGAAAGCTGTGTATTTGCTGGTGTTTGATATTTGTGCTGATAGTAAATGGACAGCCTGCCAGCCTGTACTGCTCATTAACTCAGTGCTCCCCCAGGGCCTCCTTCCTGCTGCTCTGTAACCTGGGCTGTCAAGATTTCCTGCCAAATGGGACAGCCTTGTCCTCACATCTGCCTGGACTGCCTGTTCTCCTAGGTGCCTGTTTTCCCCACCTCAAACAACCAGCCTGACTTTAGCACCATGAACCTTGACCGCTTAAAGCCTGCATTTTTCTAGAGTCAGAGGCTTAACTCTCAAGGTTAGTGCTTGCATGGAATAGCTTTGCAGAAAAGCAGCTGATGTGAATACCATGCACTGAGTTTCTATCAAATTGCATTTATTTAAAATATGTTTTTGAGACCCTGTCACATGCCAGACACCGTTCTAAGTGTGGGATGTAGTAAGTAAGCAAGGCAAGCCACATGCTGCCTTCACACAGCTTGCACTCTTCGCAGAGAGAGACCGTATGCAAGTCAACAGAAATAACTTCAGGCGGCAAACTCTACAGTGAAGGTACAACAGGATGAAGTGATGGAGAGAGGAAAGCTTCTCAAAGAGATGTTTTTGAGTTCTAACCTGAATGTTGAAAAGAAGCCAGATATTCATGAATTGAGGAAAACTACTCCCTGCAGAGGGTGGGGGAAGTGCAAAGATCCTGCGGCCAGAGCAAGCTTGGAGAGTCTAAGCGTTTGGGAAACAAGAAAATTTAAAAATTTTTAAAATATATGTATGTGTGTGCATATGTATTACATTATTGTACATATTATAAAATATATTATGTAGACTTACAGCTTATACGTATAATAACAGCAGTGCAACATTATGGGGGTGAGAAGTACAGTGGGGGTGTTCACACTGTAGAGGGCAATGAATCATGTACTGATTAGCCATCCAACATCGTTATCTTGCCCACCTTTGGAATCTTCAATATGTACATATTACTCAGGGTGCCGAGTATAAGACAGGCATTCTACATTTATTCAGGCATTTGACATTTATTAAACTTCCTTTTGCCAGACAGTAGGCTAGAGCAGGGATGGACACACTTTTTCCATGGATTTCAGTGAATGTGTGGCTTGCAGGCCACATACAGTCTCTCTCTCATACTGTTTTGCTGGGCTTTTTACCACCCTAAAACTGTAGAGACCCCCCAACATGAGGGCTGCCACAAGTAGACCAC